CAAGCGAATTACTAGCTGATTTACTATGAATTCTTTAGAGTACAATAAAATGCTACTGCACAATTTAACTGTTATTGTTATCCGTTTTAACAATACATTTAAAATGGAATCATGTTATGATAATTAAACAAGTGAATTTTTAGCTGATTTACCATGAACTGTTTAGAGCATAACAATACGCTACTCCGCATTTTAACTGTTCTTAAAAATACGTTTAAAACATAATTTAAAAAAATAAAAGAAAATATATTTTAAAAAGCGTGTAGAACTGAAAGCGAAACTCAAATATTATTATTTTTTCATTAAATTACTAATTGAATACAAATCGATATCGTTTCGTTGTATTTATGTTAGTTATGTGGCAACATCAAATCTGACAGCTATAGGAAATATGTCATGCGAAATGAAATCACAATTCAACAAGTAAAAAGGTACTAGTGAATTCACAACTAAATAGTTGCCATTGTGTTATTTTGTTTGTTATTTTTCAAATAAATTCTCAAGAACTCATATGGAGTGAGATTGTCGATCACATTATAGTGTGACAACAGTTAAAAGTAAGTGTTCAACAGTTTTTAATTTATTAATTCTAGTGCTGATATTTGATAGTGATGAATGTATGAAATGATGAAGTTGTTTTATTTTTTAACATATGCACAAGCTATACCTGACAAACAAAATAGCTTATTTGTAACACGGCGATAAGATTAGCTAGCTAACACCAGATAGTTACGAAATGGACAATTTTTATCAAATACCAAGAAATAAGACAGTCGATTTTTAATTGTTTTTGGACTACTGGTAGGCAGTCAGTCCTTAATTATTAAATAATATAGGGCATTAAGTTTTAAGTAACATTTACCTATATTTGAGTTTAAAGTAAACAAATCTATTTTATTTTGTTCACTTTGTCTTATTTTTTTGTATTTAATATTATTTCAGTTGCCATCGTCATCGCGTGAGTGTCATGATTGCGAAGGATTGATAAAGCAGCAACACGTTAAACTTTAGAACGGGAACCATCTGAATCATCTAGTCCATCCTTGTAGCAATCTAAAGTGAGTAATGTATTGAACCTAGAACAACAAAGCTTAGATCATACATCATACAATATACTGCAGCCTAATTTTGTAAGAGCACCACTCACACAAAATCAATGTTTTTTCCTGGTTGTAACAATTCCAATCAACTCACTGTTCCATCAGCATTGCGGGTATGTATTTTTGTGAATACAATTACTATGTACCTCCAGAATGTAGAATCAGTTACTACCATTTAAATAGTAACTCTTGGTTTTTACTTTTAGAATTAATATATAACCATATTAAAACATTTAGTGTAGCACAAATTATAGATTTTTCTACATTATTGTAAGATAATATTTACCATCATATAGACTTTGAAAATATTTACAATATGCCCGAATATACTGTACATTATTATCTACGCTTATCAAAGGCACAATGCCAATAAATTCTGTCTGAAGTGCCCAAAATGTCAAGTAAACATAGTGGATGCTTTGCACTTGCTGTATATTTGATGAAAGTAAGAACAGGAGATAGTGATGAATGCATATAGGCATTATTGCAAGTACCAAGAAACAAATTAGAGCGGCTCATGAATATGGCCCAAGAAATATTAAATCAGGATGTTGTTCCTATGAATTTTATCCATCGTTATCACTCTCTGTGCCAAATTCTATTCAGTAATTATGATATTATATCTGAGGCAAATAATTTCTTAGCTTTCCTAGATGTTTTTGTTATCCAAAATCCTAACAACATCATAGGTCACACTGTGTATAGAAAAAAGACCCATACAAACTGATATTTAAGCGGTGAATCTCACCATAATCCTTCACAGTTAGTTACCATGAGCAAATCTTTGTTACAGAGAGCATATGGGATCTGTGAGAACAAGCACCTGGCCGCGGAGCTTCAGCACGTCAAGCAGGTTCTGCACAAAATCAAGCTTCGGGTCTCACGTCTTCGTCACAGTGACCGAGTGAAGCCGACCGCAGTTGAGCGTGTGCCTGATGTACTACCGTATGTCAAGGGTGTCACCCCAACCAGATAGACATACATCAGGTTTGATAGACCACAAATCCTCGTTAAAGAACATTAATTCCTACCAAGGATGATATGTGAGGCTACTGAAATTAAAAAATATCCTAATTTCAGTAGAGAAGGCGGTTGGGTACTACCACCTGCTTGGGACACTATAATTAATAAAATTAAAACAAACCCCAAGCATACCACTGCAAGACTTAAAGATAGAGTAAGTTCAATCTGCGTAGATTGGACTATAAAAATAATAATAAAAAGCTGAAGGTACTCCATGTCCCAATACTGACATTGGGATGGCAGTCACCTCAGTACCCCGTGACCATGGGTGCTATAAAGCACCTGAAACGTCAGGAATTAATAATAATAGTATAATAATAATAATATAGCCATTTATTTCCGAACTTTGGGGTTACATAATATTTGTGTTTGAGTTCCTATTGTAATACTAGTTAAAGTAAGTCCCTCTGTTCGGTGTGCCTTTTGGCATAGGCCTCCAAAAGAAAAATCACGCGTCGGGAATTAAAAGTTAAAGAAATTAAAAGCAATAAAATTGGTAAAAGTAGTCGTTAAAAAACTGTATTTGTGAAAATAAAAAGCTTTATATCATAAAAATCCCGACTTTTTTTAAACCAATTCCTTAACCATTTCATTATTTTAATTGCATATTATCATTTCCATATGCTTTTATATGTGGGCACCCATGGCCGAAGTGTCTATGAACAGTGGGCATCCCCCTTCCTCAGGGGTCTTAGTCCTCAGGGGTGACAACGCATCTGCGTTTTGATCCTTAATCGAGGATAAATGTAGATGTCTATGGGTCACAGCATCCACTTACCATCAGGTGGACTGTGTGCTCGATTGTCACCCTTATTCTATAAAAAACATCGTCAATATAAATAAAACAACAAATTATCAAATTCGAATTCGTTTATTCGTTTCGTGACAATATTACATTCGAAATATTAAGTTTATTTACGTATTGTTTAATACATTAAAGTACGACGCGTCAACAGTCTCATCAAGGACATTAAAAATTATCCTTTCTCATATCTTTTTAAAGTAATGTGAATGTTGTTGTTATTTAAAGTCATCAAGAAACATTGATAAAGGCATGTAGGTGATACTGCTTTTTCATAAGTGAATATAGAAAGGAAAATAATTTTTAATCTCACGAGATGTCATTTACGTTTTAGACTTACTCTGCGTTATGGTCACAGTCGTACGCAAATAGTAATAAAATAAGTTGTTATTAATATTCAATAAGTGTCAAATATGTATAAAAGTATTTTATTAAAATTTTTATTAATAAATTCGTTTCTAAAATATAAGTTGCTAAGTACATACCGTGTGTTTCTCTTTTCTGACAAAAAAGTTAAAGTAACGTATTTTTTTCTTTCTTATAAATAAAATAAATTGGCTAAGGATCTGAATAAATTATATATATATATATATATATATATATATATATATATATATACTATATAAATTATATATTGTTGGCAACATTCACGGCCTTACTCTAACTCATAATAATCACGTCAATCTAAACAATGCTTAAAGTTGCTCTCTCTCTCCTCACTAAATTATAATGACAATAGAGACAGACAAATATAAAGATAATTTAACGATTATAAAAGTAAGAACGTCGGTATAAAAAGCCTAGACAATAATAAAAAAATATAAATGCCAATGGCTGCCTTACCGTTCCGACTGTGACCTTGAAACGAGTGTATATATTATATTTTCTAAAATGATTTCGTTATCTACTCTAAAGAATAATTATTATGAACTAAACTACTCTAGATAAAATAATTAAGAAAGTAGCTGAACTAACGTCACTTAACTCACTCCATTATTATTGTTATGGCAACAATAGATATCGAATGCTGTGAAGCTGGCAATGATTCATTTTCAGGTCTAGCAGCATTGATATCTCTATTGACAGCAACTTCGATTTATTTTAAAAAAATAAACAAATGTACTATTATGTAAGGAACGTTGATATTATACACACAAAATACTCAGTGTATAAACACTGATTATATTTATTATTTTAATTTTATTCTAAACGACTTTGTGACCGACACAGATTACACTAAACAAATGTCTCAAATCCCGCAAAAAATATGAGTAAGTAATCAAGTAATACAATAAGCTTTAGCTTAATCTAGTAAGGCATTTTATATTTTATAATTATAAACCCCGAAGAACCCCATTTTATGTTTATATAACCGACGTGGCGTCTTGACTTTATTCGGCAAAATAAATTTCCTTGTTAATGATGTAGTCCCAAATACGACAAACAAACGGGCGGCAAAATTAGGAGTACCCTGGATGTGAAGGAGGCGAGAGAGGTGTGTCAGGATCGTGCCAAATGGAAGTCTGTAGTCTCTGCCTACCCCTCTGGGCGACAGGCGTGAGTGTTTATGTATATGTTATATATGTATGTAACCCAAGTAATTACAGTATCACCTACAAATTTTACAGTAACTATAATATCTTATTTTAAGAGCTGGCTACGTTTATTCATTACTCTGTGTGTGGGTATAGGTCTTTCCTTTTCAGATGCAGTTGATATGACCGTTTGTGATAAAATTTTACTATAAATTCGAAAAAAGAACATGAGACTATTTCTAATTTTTTTTTAATTTAGGAAAAAAAAACAATTTTAAAATCGTTAAAATATTGATTTAGGCGAAATCATTACGGTGTTACGAATTCATAATACACTCAGACATTAATGTTATGACATAAAACGAGAATGGAAACCAATTAGTCACAAAAATAAAAGTTAAATGTTGATTTTACACATGATGTAACGAACACACTTAGTTTATAGTCATCAAATGCAACGAAAATGAGCTAAAATGAGTTTCATCACACCGCAGTAGGCGTTACGTTAGATGTGCGGCCCGATTACGGTTTTCGATAGTCTCAGGGTTGGTACATGAAACAAAGACGTATTGTACAGAACACGCTCTTGCCGTCGGCGGAGCAAGTGCAGTCGTTGCACTCGCGTTTGAACTGTTCCCCGGGGTTACAACGGAAATTAGAATCTGCATCTAGAACACAAATAGAATTGGGTATTATTAAACTTAAACATTATAAATACTGGCATCGCGTAGTTAAAGAAATAAACAACCGCAAGCATACATAGGTACATATTTGAATGAATGGATCAAAAGGATATAGGACAAGTAAATTCAATGTATCGTATAATAGATATATGTAATCTATAGTATTAGTAGATACTGCAAAAATAACAATATTTTCCATTTATATTTTATAAAGACTCCTTGTTGATATCCGAGACCGAGAAGTACCTATTTTGTATCTACGGAGAAATTAATTTAAATACAAAATTATGTATATACTATAAAATAAAAATACATCATATTATATAGAATTTCGTGCCTCAATAAGAACTTAAACTCCCATGACTTCAATATAGTTTTCTGTGTACAATTTTTTGCCCTATTAATATTCAACTTTTTGCAAGTAATATTTGGGCCTTTAACGTACTGTCTAATATACTTCTCACATTAAACAGTTATCGAAAAAATCGACTATGACAGCCGACGGACGGACACCGAAGTGATAACGTATCGCCAGCGCTATATGAAATTGGACACGCGCGCGACATCATGTGGGCACGGTAATTTTATCTATACAGTATTCCAACTTCCACGGAAAGCGCCACGCGCCTCGATCTCGGCATGCGCTCGGCATGCAGACAGTCGTGACTGCCGCAGTGATGGTTTTGTGGAATATATATATAGAAAAATGGAGGAAATAAATAATAGAATAGAAGTAAAGAAAAAATAAATCCGAACTTCATTTAAAACCAAACATATAAATTGTAAAGTAGCTGTAGGTATCTATAACCAAGTAAAAGACATTCCTTTTCTCCACCTTGTCCATGTTTCCCAAAACAATTTTTAATTAAGCTTTATATTAGAATGCGGATTTTTCATACTTAAAAATTTAATAACAAAGCATTTCGTACGTCTCAGCCGAGGCGCAAATATTTTTCGGTCGCAAATTTATAAGACCGGTTTGTTATTCAAACTTCAAACATAAACATGGTTTTTAATTAAATCTACCAATCAAAAAACGATACGCATTTTTATTGAAAACTTCCTATTCAATTCACAAAGTACCTATTATATCCGTTTATATAAAAAAATGTATATTTACAATCACAAAACTAAATGGAATTGGAAACACAAATTAGGCAAATGTAAAAATGCTGGAGGCAGGCAGCCCTATCGCATTACGTACCGCGCGACTGTAGGCATTTATTTCAAAGATACGGCCGAGTTACAATACTGTATAGATAACATTACCGTGACGTGGGTGTCGTAAGAGGCGACAAAAAGGAACAGAAACGGATAAATAAAGCAGGAAATTAGCACCAACATTTTCCTGATAAGAATTCATAAATAATAAAAAACATGCTGTTGCCAACTGGATTAGGCAATCTATGGAGAAAGCTTATGCTCAACAGTGGTTTTTATATGTTATTTTAAACGAATGATGAGTAAAGGAACCTATCGAATTCAAAACAAGCGGCGTACATCTAGCTGATGCACTCATCGACGCCGCGCTCCACTTTGATTTGCTCGCAGTCGAGCGTAGGTCGTCACACAGAGAACGTACCTCACGTAGGTCGTCACACAGAGAACGTACCTCACGTAGGTGTCACACAGAGAACGTACCTCACGTAGGTCGTCACACAGAGAACGTACCTCACGTAGGTCGTCACACAGAGAACGTACCTCACGTAGGTCGTCACACAGAGAACGTACCTCACGTAGGTGTCACACAGAGAACGTACCTCACGTAGGTCGTCACACAGAGAACGTACCTCACGTAGGTCGTCACACAGAGAACGTACCTCACGTAGGTGTCACACAGAGAACGTACCTCACGTAGGTCGTCACACAGAGAACGTACCTCACGTAGGCCGTCACACAGAGAACGTATCTCACGTAGGTCGTCACACAGAGAACGTACCTCACGTAGGTGTCACACAGAGAACGTACCTCACGTAGGTCCTCACACAGAGAACGTACCTCACGTAGGTCGTCACACAGAGAACGTACCTCACGTAGGTGTCACACAGAGAACGTACCTCACGTAGGTCGTCACACAGAGTACGTACCTCACGTAGGTCGTCACACAGAGAACGTACCTCACGTAGGTCGTCACACAGAGAACGTACCTCACGTAGGTGTCACACAGAGAACGTACCTCACGTAGGTCGTCACACAGAGAACGTACCTCACGTAGGTGTCATGCGAGACTAAACCTGGAGATGAACAGCAGTATCTTTCCTGTAACAACTCGGTGATAAAGTAACTGCGGTTGCAACTATGGCAAATTTCCTTCCTATAATTGCCAAATACTAAACGCTTCTCAATTTTAAGACTTCGTTAAGTCTTGTGATGTCACAGTAAGTTTGACTCAAAGTGATAGAGATAACATGAGACTTAACGCATCTTATAATTGAGCAGCGTTTGAGTGTTTAGGCATTAGGTCATCTATGGAGAAGGTCGATGTTCAACAGTGTGCTTTTAATGGGTCGTATTAAGCGAATGGTGAGTAAAGGGACTCAAGCTGAATTCAAAACAAGCGGCGTACATCTAATTACCGGACGCATCGTCGCCGTGCTCCACTTTGATCTGGTCGCAGTCGTGTGCGGTGCAGGTGGCGCGCAGACCGTCTTCGCCACATCGGCACACGTTGCACCCCTTTTGGAATACGGTGCCCGCTGTGCAGTTAACAGTCACCTCCTCGGTTGTGTCTGAAATATTTATTGCAACATTACATGTTTCGACTCCCTCTTGGTCTACTGGTTGTAAACGCGACCGGCCACAAAAATCCTTTAATGAGTTTTTCCGTCGAGAAATTCTGAGTAGCTGCCCGGAGTCAGGAAGTTGGCGATGTCTCACCTCCGTGCTTCGGAAAGCGCGTAAAACCGTTGGTCCTGCACCTAATCTCTCTTCGGTCGTGTCGGGTTACCGTCTCATCAGACTATGAGAGTGAGGAAACCGAGAGTGCACCTGTGCTTGCGTATGTACTTGGGCACTATAATCCTGTCCTGCATCTATGACTAGTCTCCTTCGAGGCTGGTCGCCGTGACAGTAATTCTGTCTGGGGTACATTACATATCTTGAAGACTGTAAGAATCAGCGCCTCAGTGTTACTTTTAAGGCTTCAAACGACGGGCGAGCTTTACGGCGCTTTTGTTGGCTTACCGGTAAAGCTCGTGGATCGTTTATTTTTTCAGATACTTTTTATGTTCCTGATATTTAAACTTTGATGGTTGTTGAAAGAAACGACCCACTTCACGCAGCTTTAAAAGAATAAAATAAAATAGTAGACTAAGGAATATCTAAAACTCGAATGTCGTCTAAATTAGTTACACCAAAAAGTTCATTCATATTTTGTCACCCTATTCTATAAAAAAAAAACCCTGGATGGATTTTCTTTTTAAATTTATCTGAGACCAATGAAGTACATCTGTAAAAAGTAATCCTATACAATTGACGAAGATAACGATCAACATACATACAAAAAAATCTTTCTCCTTTTTTTAAAGTAGGTAGGCGTCATTTACCTCTTTTCCTCCTGGCTCCGCCATTGTTGTTGTTGTTGAGCGCGTTGCAATCGATACGCGTGCAAGAGAAGTCCTGACCCTCGTTATCGCAGAGGCACTTATTGCAGTCCATGCGGAACTCTTGACCCGGCTGGCAAGCTTTCGGCGGCTCCTACTGGATACACTACGCGTTATATCTTGTTCATTCGGCCAACAACATTCCAAAGACTCTACATAAAGTTACAGCCTATATACGTATCCCACTGCTGGGCACAGGCCTCCTCTCACTTTTAAAGGATTTTAGGGCAAATAAATGTCCGCTGCGCCCCAATTAGCGAACTTCACATGTCTTCGAAATGTTTTTTTTTCTCAGACATTCAGGTTTCCTCACAATGTTTTCTTGCTCCACCGTACACGTGGCAAACCAGTACTTAAAATTGCAATTAACAATTTCATTGGGGCCGGTGGAGATCGAACCCGGGTTGCTCGCGTACTACGAAATGTACAGCGAGGGCTAAGCCTCTGAGCTACCACGGCTCTAAAGACTCTACATGATTGATACAAATTCGAGACAAATTTACTCTGAACAAATTTACGCCTTTATCTTTAACTTCTTTTTCATCCTCAGCCCGCCACTAACTCCAAACACGGTTCTGCTCGGGATTTCATCATGTTGTGAGGTCAATTTGCCATAATCGTTACGCTTGGATCTACCTGGATAGGCAATTCAAGACTGGGTTTCTCTCACCTTTGATGCCACCATCTATACCACATCATAAACGCTTTCTGTTTCCCACAATCGACTTTTACATCACTCACGATACGAAAGGGGATGACAAATTTTCTTACGCTGCATCTATGTGGTATATTTTTTTTACTGTTACGTACAGTCTTTCAAAAGTCCACTGCTGAATATAGGCCTGTGCGAGTAATGCCTCATATGCTACGGTCCCCATTTGACGTAGTTGCCACGCTGTGCAGGTACAGTATTTTATTCTAATCTATGGTATTTTAATCTATGGTAACCGCGGTTAACTATGACATATGGACGTTGAACATCTCAGTCCTGCCCGTGACCATGAGTGCTGTAAAGCGTTCGAAACGTCGGGTAATTAAAAAGTTAAATACACGCGATAAATTCCGTAAAAACTAGTATTATTTCAAAGTATTTTATTTTTTAGTTATTATTAAGAACAGCTGCCACAGCTGCCTATACCCAGGTTTGTATCCCGCTGCGGTCACTCACGACATCCAAAAGACGATATGTGATAATCGGTATCCTTGCACCCAGCCTACACGACATATTTCTCTTTACTGAAGAGAAATCTCAAGAAGAATTGAACAATTGAAAGTGTAATTTCAAAAACAAACATTTATATCTGCCCTATATAGAATATTAACTATGTTTTTACATCACTACTTTTTACAAATTTTGACCGGATTTTGGCTTAAATTATAAAATGGTAGAGATTAAGCCAACTTTATTTCAAAAGTGAGTATAAATTAGAATTTGCTATTTGATTCCCTTTGATTTTAATAATGCTTACTGAATGTAGTTTTTTTACTTTTAGCGCTAACGAGACATATTATTCAATAATAAATTGAAAAGTGTATATATATATATATATATAAAAAAAAATATATAATATATATATATATATATATATATATATATATATATATATATAAATGTAATGTATAAGTAGTCTACTAAACACTGTAAAAATAGGTTTAAGAGTCGTACGTACCTGCGGTGACGCTCGTGTTTTCCGTATAAGCGACGTATCCTGCAATAAAAAAATAATTATAAACTATTTGTATATTATTCATTTTTATATATATAAATATAAAAATTCTGCTACTTTTTTGTTTAATACACTCTCTAGTAATTTATATTTAAATGTGTAGCCGCCTTACTTTAGGTGCGAAAGAGAGAAATGTTCTAATTTATAGATCACAAATATTTTTCAGTGCTGGGATCGAACCTAAAACCATCAGCACCGTAGCTAAACGATAGAAATTATATGTATATAAATATATACATTGCACATTATACTATACCATTAAAAAGTTAAAGAACGTCAAAGAAAGCACTTAAAAACACAATCTATTGTATGTTTTATACCATATAGAATATAGATACATAACCCACCACCAGAAGGCTACAAGGCAAGAGATCCTAACCTTCATATCATCTTCTGGGTAGCAAGCCCTCCTTGTGCAAGAGAACGACTTCCCATCAGCATTACAACGGCACATGTTACAGTCTATCTCGAACACTTCGTCCGGACGACATTGTTTCATAACAATACGGGCGTTTTGCTACATATGCGAGAAATATCAATCATCAACTGGCAACTCAAAAAATATGCAATTTAATTTCAGCACTAAGCAACTATTATTAAGTTTCGAAATCACTGCGACTAATTTAACTTCTTGAATTTGCGAAATTTATCAATAGATGAATTTCAATAGAAGAATCATTAAACATACGTTAGAATACATGACCGCGTAATGGCCGTGTGAGAATATCCACTAACCCAACGTTCTGTGGGTGTAGTGAGAGGCGACGGAAAGAAACTGTACCAGGAGACGGGCAGCAGCATCTTCCTGATAACAGCTTGAAACATGAAGCGTGACAACTACAGCGAAATCCCCCCATGCAAGACAATCTATGGGGGGAGGGGGGGGGGCTATGCTCAGCAGTGGACTTTATAGGCTGTAATGGATAATGAAAAAACAAACGCGACGAATATAGAACCTCCTTTTGAACTCGGTTTAAATTCTATAGTCAATAAATTAAATTAGAAAGAGATAATTACTAGTAATATAGTAAAAAGGATTTTAGAAAAAGAAGTTATTTATATATAAAAAAAAACTGCAGAAAGTATAAGGGTGAGTAAGTGTTTCAATAAAATGAAGTGACACCTGATGTTAGTGACCTCTCAGTCTAAATATCTCTCTAACTGTAACTACTGCCTAGACGGACTCCTAAGTAGGCAAAGATTTAGGAATTTTCAAATACTCCAAAAACAAAATGGCTTGCAAAAGGAGGATGTGAGGATGATCATTCACAAACATAGCTTAAACTTTCTGGGTGATATGGCACCTTTTCTACCTTAATGTTCATCTGGATTGTAGCCTTCTTAAGTTATTCTAGCATCAAGCACCAGTACACTCAATATTGTGTTCTAGTTTTAAGGTTTAAGAGATCTAGTATAAATATAAACCATGAAGCATTTCATCCTATTTCTGAGGGATTTCAACAGTCAACACACCTGGAGCCTTTTTGTTTAAAGTTGGTAGCAGGTGTTCATGGGCTACAGTAGCTACTTACCATTATTAATTGTTAGTTCACTTGTTATTACAATATTTAAAAACCTAAACGTAAACATAAGTAGAAATGTCTCGGGACAGTCGACATTACTTCTATAAGGGACCAATGAGAAATTAAAATCAATATTAGATTGACCGTCAGCAATAGTTAGTCTATATCTAGCAGCCCACCACCAATAAATGATATAGACTACCTCTGACTTTACTTCCGCGACAACTTCCTCCGGCAGTTCCACGCAGACCTTTCTAGTGCAGAAGTAGCTTGTGCCGTCTTCGTTACACCAACAAGTATTGCAGTCTTTAATAAACATTCGGTTGGCAGAACAGATGATTGCTTTTGTACCGTTTACTTCTTTTACATTTGATTTTAGTGCCTGGAACGGAATTGTAAAGAAATGACAGGTTTGTCAAATGCCGGTATCAGCTGCACGTGGTATTTAATTACTAACGTATGAGTCTCTAGCATTGACAAATGGCAGTATATCCGCTAAATAATATCAATTTAAAATAGCCGAACCCCTTATACCACCCACTAACGATTTTAGATACAAGCTGACTTTTCGAGAAGCACATTTTTCACCGCTTGTTTAAAATGCTTAGGTGGCGACTGACATGAGCATTTGCTAGATGTAAGCATATTACAAGTCGAGTATTCAGCATGTGAGTACAGCGAGCCCAGCAGCACGATAACGAGCGCCGAGGACCCTAGCGCACTCCACCCGGCTGTCAACTTTTTGGCGAATCCCTTTGAATGTTACATTACAAAACAGTCGCTAGCGCAAGCACCAGTACAGCCAACCGAGCAGCTCTTTGACGAGCGCTGAAGACACGAGCGCGCTCCAACCAGCTGTCAGTTTTTTATTATATATATAAGACCATCGTATAGTGCGAGCACCGCCCAGAGCGCACTCGTTGCGCTGTTTGTGTCTTGGTATTTTTGCGTTTGGTAAAATGCAGTGGAGTCAGTCAGGAAAAAAACAATTTTTGTTCAACCCGCCAGCTTTATTTCTCATTTCGAATCTGTCCAAATACACTTTATCTTTTCTTCTTTAAGTAGCAATATCGGATTAAAGGAACGGAGCCACACTCTACGTCCGCCATTTTGACTACATTTACTGGAGCACAGTCAAAATATTTGCCGCGAAGATTCGGTTATCATGAGCATTTGCTCACAACGAACAAAATCTCGATGCGAATATTCACATCGAGCAAATGCTCATGTCAGTCGCCACCTTTACACGTACTACATACACGTGATGGAAATAGGGCTGTCTAACTGCTTCGTATTACACACTTAAGTGCGAACAAAACTAAAATACTTTTAATATTTTTCTTTTTTTAAGTCTTATATATCTTATGCTTTGTTCACATTCAATGGAATGCAATGGCATCTTCCTTCAAATAAATAAAATACTTATTTCTTTATCTTGAGATGAAATACACCGTTTAGAATGTTAAGTTGTCAATTGTTCACAGTTAGCAAAAATCGAATATAATAAGCCTAAAAATTATTCCAATTCAAATAATAGCCCATTACTATGTTATACGAAAATAATATAAGGTATAATGTAGGCAGAAGATATAACAGGTAATACAACTTCTTAATGATTTCTTATATTTACGCGAACACTACACATTGAAATAATACTAGTTTTTACGGAATTTATCGCGTATATTTAACTTTTTAAATACCCGACGTTTCGAACGCTTTACAGCACTCATGGTCACGGGCGGGACTGAGATGTTCAACGTCCATATGTCATAGTTAACCGGGGTTAAAAAGTTAAATATATGCGATAAATTCCGTAAAAACTAGTATTATTTCAATACAACTTCTTCCTTAAATGTTTTATATACAAAACACAATGTCCAAATAAACGTAATGTTGGATACTGTGACCGTAACTGCATCGGTACACGCAAAAAAAAATCCTTAATGCGAAAAAATTGGCCTTCACCGACAAAGACCATATTGTGCTATGATCATACCGACGCGACGCGACGGCGAATTCATGTCGAGAATATTTGACACCGATACGCCACTCCTACGCGACCAAACGCCCCGTAACCGCGTATACTCACCGTTGTCCAAAATAATTGCGATCTTTGGCGAATTTACTTACAATTTTTTTTCTAAAAGCCACCGTAAAGGTATTTTAATATAAATAATATTCAAGACAATATTCAGACACGAAAACTTCAGCCAATACAACGGCATCATAATACACATATTAATCGGAAGGATACGCGTTCAAAAGGGTATAGTAGTGAATGCCGTGCTATCGTGTTTCTTCCTGTACCTGATACTTTCATAGCACGTTCATAGAATCACCCGTTACAGTGGGCCGTGATCTTACAATTTTTTGACGTAAACGTAACGTACATATTCTTGGAAATGAAACTACACTATATTCACAGATAAACTGTATTTTTCTACACATATTATGGACAAAAGCAAAAAACGACACCTAATTTCATATTCACTGTTCTTCTTCCAAATCCATTTATGTACTTTATTTTTTTTATTCATTCTTTTATTGTCTCGTTTTCTCGTCAGATAGAATGTTCAGACGTACTCATAGATGTATTTGTCTATGGTACAACTGGCTTTATATCCTGAAATAAAATAAAATATATGACAACATACTTTAAAAAACACACAGCAAACATACAAAAAACATAATTATGTAAGACTAGTGAGTCGCCCCGGCTTGGCCTGGGTGTGATCTATTAATGATTTAGTGTTATATTTAGTGTTTTTAAAATTAAATCACAGTGACTATCCATTTCATCAATTTTTCTATTTAACAAAAAAAGAAGTTCAATTTATTCGGGTAAAGTATTGCCTAGTCTACAGCTGGCATCGCTCTCTAACTGTTCATGAAGTTTCTTCGGTTCGGCTTCCGATGACTAGCCTCAAGCCTCCACAGACAGACAGACACACAATTTTTTTAAATATAATTATAAGTAGCGGCACGTAAGTCTAGAGTTGAACGAAACGTGGAGAGGATAGCTGCGCATATCGTATCAGCACGCCAATAGCCGTAGCCGTACGCAAGTAGCAGTAGCCAATCAGTGCGTGCGAACGACACGCACAGCCCATCAGCGCGGAGGAACGGTACATAAGCCCGCCCCGTGACCCGATTACTGCCCAATGATAACTTATTTTCGACTTACGCGCAATAACGGTCACCGCTAGACTTTCGTGCTGCTAGTTATACTCGTTTCTTAACAATATGTAGATACTCGTACTACAGTGACTTCAATAGAACTTGTTATTTCGATATTACAGAGAGATAATTCAGTTTTCTTTATATTTGTATAGATGTAATACTTTAATAATAACATATTAATAAGAGTACCCGGATGACCGAGCTTTGCTCGTGTGTTTTTTTTTTTTTTTTTGAAATTACAATTAGATATAAATTACATATTGATGAAACTGAAATTTACATTTTTGATCTTATTGACATAATGGAAAAAACTGAACTGGTTATTTGAATAAAAAATCATGAGGGCAATTAGTTTAATTAAAATTTTCGTATTTTTAAAAAATAATAAAAAAAGGGCTCGAAATAATAAATTTTCTTACAAAAGAGGGAACTTGAAAAAAAAAAAGAAAAAAGTCGGACCGAAGACGAGACGCGAACCAAGGCATTACGATATTGCGACCGCTCGCTATCCACTAGAGCTATTATGATCATTAACACATTGTCAAAATTTACCTTCTTATATTGTAGCAGTTTTTCATTGCCTGAAAACACGATCAAAAAACATTTTCTAAAAATAAATCCTAGCTAGATCGATTTATTGCCCCCGAAACTCCCTGGACACAAAATTTTATGAAAATCGTTGGAGCCGTTTCCGAGATTCCGATTATATATATATACAGGAATTGCTCGTTTAAAGGTATAGGATAACAATTGCTATGCGAAAAATATATTAAAATAGTAAATATAGAATAATAAGCTCACAAAACTCGTTTGAGGAAATACTGCCTACGATGTGGCATACCCTATTCGGGTGAAACGAGGACCCAGCCGATACCTAAACAACAGGTGATTATTTTTTATGGACAAACGAGCACACAATCTGCCTGATGGTAAGTGGATGCTATAGCTCGCAGACACCTACATCTTTCCTCTATTAAAAATTAACATGCAGATGCGTTGTCACCCGTGAGTGTCTTCCTCATTTTCAGTAAAAAGTATCTCCAGCTCTTATCGATACTCTTCGAAAAACAACAACAGCGTTTAGCTGCCATTTGGGTTTTCTGCTATTTTACGCTGGTATTCTGTGGGAACGTGGTCTTTTCCCGATCCAACCGACCCAAAATGATGATATTACTTGATGTGTGCTTTTATATTCTTGACAAAGTTAAAACGTAAAAGATATACTACGCTCTCACAGAATACCAGCTTAAAGGAGCATAATGTTCTTGTGTTTCGTATGGTGAGTGTAGAGAACCCGAGATCCATTTTTCTTGAAAAGAGGCATACCATCTCAGGCCTCAGGGGTGACAACGCATATACATTTTGAATTTTAAGTGAGGATAAATGTAGATGTCTATGGGCCGCAGCATCCACTTACCATCAGGTGGACTGTGTGCTCGTTTGTAACCCTTATTCTATTTAAAAAAATACTACGTAATGTTGAGAAAGCCAATTTACCCTAGTTTTACAAGATCTTCTGGCATTACCTGTAATCTTCATACGACATTAACATACTATTGTTATTATTATAAATTAATATATCGGAATAAAACCTTAAGATCCTCAGATTCGATTATTTCCACATCATCAGGTAGCTTGCAAGGTTTGTTGGTGCAGAAGAAGCCTGAGCCATCGTAATTGCAGGAGCATGTGTTGCATTCTATATAGAAGGTCGCCAGCGGTTTGCAGACCGAGTGCCTTTCTATGTGATCGACGCCCTGTCAATAGATGAACAGCGTTTAAAATAGCATAGCTGTGTGCATTACGTTTCCTGCAGTGCGATCGAGTGACTCTGGTGAGAAACGTGATGAAACTTCGTTTTGACTTTTGACCTTTAATGTTTGGTTCCGTTGTATTAGGTTTAGGTCTTCTGTCAGGTAGTAAGACGGCTTTGGTACCTAGAAATGATCTGGTACTGCTCTCTTACCTATTTTTGTCGTAAATTAGCAGTGTTTGCACAACTGTACTCCGGTCTGAAGGCTATAGAGTGCCGGTATATTCACAGGCTGTGAGGAATTCAATCTTAGTTCTCAGAGGTGAAACCACATCTGTAGTCATCTTAGCAGAAGGCACTAGGTGAATTGTAAGTTTGTTCGTCATTTCATTTTTATTAAAAAATGTGAATCGATCGTAAGATTTAGATCAAAAGATATGTTAGGTCAGTGATTCTTAACAGAAATGATTCTCAAAAGCCACCGCAGAGTCTACATAACCTGAGGATGCCCCGTGTAGGTGCGAGACACGTGTCGTATTATCATCGATGGTGTGTTTTTCCTAGAGTAGTGATGTTGACAAGTAGTGGTGGTGGACTAGTATTGACAAGGTTAGTGCCCGTAATTGTGGGAGGGTGGGAGGTGCTCTTCAAGCTAGGTAACACACATCGTATTATTTCATTGAGCGGTTGTTTGCGAAGTTACTCTTAACATTTTTAATATAATGGATTTTCGCAAGGTAACGCCTGATTCTATTAATGATTCCCTAAAGAGCTACACAATCGCACTACGGCTCACAGCAAACTACAGCGACAGTGACAGTGACGGCTCCAGGTTAAAAATCAGTAGTTGTATCGTTCTTGCTAAGCATATTATAAAGTCGTGTGCTTAAAGCACAAACGCTTTTTTTCATCTTCACTTTCCCATGAGTGACGCAGAAAATCCGGGTGAGCACGTATATCAGTTTTATGTATCCGATAGAGAGCTATCCACCCCGACTTTACACAGGTTATTTCTGTATCTAGACAACAGCGACACCTACCGAGTCCAACGGAATTTTTAAATCACCCACTCAAATACACTCGAAAAACTTCATCAAAATCGAGCTTTTAACAAAGAAAAAAAGGAACAAAATCTATGTTACATTTTTAATTTTTCCTTTACTTTAGCTTTGTCAAATTAGTTTATTTGATATGGTTTTAATAACTCCCTCCCCCTTTCTCTTTCTCTCTCTGACTTTTAAAATACTCCATAGTTAAGTCAATCATATCACATGTGGCAGTTTGGGGAGTCACTTAAAAACTTAAATGAAATGTCTAATAGGTCATTAATTACAAGGATTATCTTCGTTTTTAAACTGGAATGCAACATACAGTATCACATTTTTGTGGTTGGGAAAGAGGTTGATGGCTTAGGAAAGAGGCTAGTTAGAGGGATGAAGCTGCTCGCGTCCGTAGGAATTACTTGAATCCTGACTCCCTATATTACAATTGGTTTTTCTAGGGAACTTTAATGTCTGTCATCAAGACTGGCTGTTCTCGTACCAAAAGATCGACCACTCTGGGAGAGAGGTGGAGTTTTGCTTTATCGCTGGGGCTCTCCCAGCTGGTACAACAAGCGACTAAATATCCGATGTGGATGGGCACACAGCCAACTGCCTCGATCTTCTGCTGACGACCGATCCTGCCACCCTTGGGAACTTCTGACCACTTTCTGGTGAAATCTGTGTCGGTATATTGAAATCATCTGGCGGTAGAGCTTTTTGGTCTCTTGCCAAAGCGGTCAAGACAAACTTCTGCCTTCACTAGTTAAACCAGATGGCTAACTGGCGCATGCGGCTAAGGAGAAAGTGGACTTATTTGCTTCTCTTTTTGCTCGCAATTCGCGTCAGGACAGTAGCAACAGCGTACCTAGGTGGTACGCTGTTGCTACTTCAGATTTTGATTACCTCACTGCGGTACCTCTATGTCGGAGGTCCGTATCACCAACAAGGAGGTTCTTAAAACTTTGCGAAGTCAAGACGTGAACAAAGCTAGGTGACCTGATGGGATACCAGCTATAGTTCTAAATATCTATGCGCCTGAGTTGTCGCCTTAGTTGAGGCGCTTATTTCGCCTCTCATTCAGGACTGGAATAGAGCCCAAATCTTGGAAGCTAGCCAACGTGCAGCGTGTGCCTAAAAAGGACAGCCGTGTCAACCCTGCCAACCATCGGCCAATATCGATTACCTCCATGCTTTGTAAGATTATGGAGCGTATATGGATGCTTTGTAAGATTATGGCATTTCGGCGAGTGTGCGCAGGAAGTACACGCTTTAATTCCTCCCTCTCCTTTCCACCATCGGACAACCAGACGGTCGGCGGGTCTTCACCCTTTTACTGTCGATATTCCACACATTAGAACCAAATGGTTTGCTTCTTCTTTTGTAATACGTACAGAAAAGTGTAGTGGAATAATTTTCCGACGTCTATTTTTCCGCCCGAACACAATCTGGGCGTCTTCAAAGCAATAGTAAATAGACTTTGTTACGCTAAGAAAGTGCGATTTACCATCTAGGCCTACACCACTTACCACCAGGTGGAATCGTAGCCAAGCAATGGCTTATAATAAGTAAAAAAAGAGGCCTGTATATCTTTCTATTTTGTTAGCTGTGAAATTTCTATTATAGTTGTAGCACGAATGGGTCTGCTCGAACGGGTAGGACCACGCTCGCACAGAATAACAGCGTAAAATAGCAGCTTAACGCTGCTGTGTTTCATATGGTGAGTGTAGAAACACGGAGACCTTTTTTACTGGAAACGAGGCATTCCATCTTAGTCCTCACGGGTAACAACACATCTGCATTTAGATTCGTAATCGAGGATAGATGTAGATGTCTATGGGCCACAGCAACCACTCACAATCAGATCATAAACGATCACATAGTCCATGTGATCGTTTGTAACCCTTACCCTATAAGAAAAATTTCATAGTCTGAAGTGAATACCAGGTAGATCATAATAGCAGTTTTTAATAAAGTATTATGTAATCCTTTTGTCGTGTTAGGCGGTGTTAGTGAATCAAAGAAAACAACGGCAGAGATTTATGATACTGTGATCACCATTCCACCTGTCGAGCGTAAGGTAAAGCCTTCCTAAATCAAGAGAGGCGTACGTCTTTCATATATGCTTTCACGTCCAGCAGTGAACCTTTACAAGCTTTTTAAAAGGAAGAATCATGTTTGTATTCAAAAACGATTACTTGACCTTGAATTCTGTTTGAATTTTGTAGACATTCTGTTTATGACATATGCCCGTGAAAATTGATTAAAATTTGGTTTAATTGAAATTTATTAACTCACTTTTCATGAATACTTCGACATCCTTGTCTATTATGTCGGTATCGCTGTTATCGTCTAACTCCATGCATTCGTTTTGAGTGCACGAAAAGCTCTCGCCATTCGCAGCACACTTACAAGGATTGCATTTCATTTGAAATTCAGAATTTGATTTGCACACGGATCTCTTCAATAGGTTATGCGAATTGTCATTTAATATGTTTTTCACTTCGTACACCTGTAGGGTTAAAAAATGTATTCATTTCTAATAAAATAATTGTTTGTTTATATAATTTCTGAAATAAACAAGTATGTTTGAATTCCAGTGTAACATAAAGATTAAGAAACATATATCGTACTTACCTTGGAATATCTGAATTGAATTTGTGCAACCAAATGGCCAATGGTGATTTATTAAAACACTTTTTAGACAAATATATGGCAATGTGAATGAATAAGATGATATTGTGTTAATAACTATTTAAAACGAAATCTTGATATGTAATTTCTTAGCATTTAGCATTGATTAATTTTTTACTTGAGCACAAAATATTCCTGTCACCACATTATATTACTTCAAATTAATATACGGCTTCGGTTGTGGATGTAAATGTTTATCGTTGTAATTTACTACGATGACCCAAAATTTTTATTTACGTTAGAACACATTAAACATCAAAATAAAAATTACTAGATTCAAAAACTCACCGGTTCTAGTTCGCCGATTTCCTTGTCCTCTGAATCAACATTGAAATCAAGAGCTGCAATAAAATATTTTATGTAAGGTTTATATTCAATTTTTATTAAAAAAACTTACATTCAATCAATGTCCAATTGAATAATTTGGTAACTTATTCGCAATCCTTGAGTTCCGAATTTCAGTCAATGTTAATATGTATACAGATTTAATTACATTGATACGTGGCGGTGATCGAATAAAATTTTATTTATTTTTGAGTACTGTTTTTATTTTTTTTGTTTTAATTTTACCTTTACTAGCATGTCTGATCATCATTAACATCATCATCATCATTGCAGCCCGTCACAAGTCTCTGGTTAAACATTTGCTTCCCTCAAGGATTGCTGCAAAACACGATCCTAAACCACCTACTTTCATCGATTTCCTGCATTTCTTACCAGGTAATCACTCTATCTAGTATAAGGCCACCCTACACTTTGCTTAACGATACAAGGATGTTACTCAAAAACCTTTTTTCATTGATTGTCGGTTCTTCAATCTTTATTAAGCGGGTTAAATTGGGTTTGCATTTGTGAGAAATTAAAAAAATCCAGCGCGAACTGGCATTAAAACAACGTGGCAAACTTTACACTACTTCAAAATTCCTATCAGAAATTAGAGAAGGCCTATGTCCAACAGTGGGAATGTAGGTTGCTACATTAATAAAATAATGAATATATTGTTAAGGGATTATACCTTTCACATTTTAGGATAGATGTTAGATTTTTTTTTATAGAATAGGGTGACAAACTAGCACACAGTCCACCTGATGGTAAGTGGTTGCTGCGGCCCATAGACATCTACATCTATCTTCCATTACAAATCAAAATGCAGATGCGTTGTCACCCGCAAGGACTGAGATGGAATGCCTCATTTCCAGTAAAAAGGGTCTCCGGTTCTCTACACTCACCATACGAAATACAGCAGCATCAAGCTACTATTTCACGCTGGTATTCTGTGAGAGCGTGGTCCTTCCCCGGTCGAGCCGACCCATTCGTGCTACAACTATACTACTAATATAACTGCAGCATGGCTCTACCACGTAAAGATTAAAAATGTTAATACCAAAAGTATCATACAATAAGGCTTACCGGTAACAACACTGCATCCCATTTTTGTACACAGAGCGTAACCGTCAGATGAACACCAACACCTATTGCAGTCATCCTTCCACACTGTTTCCGGAGCACAGCTTAACTTTCTCTCTGGAAACATTTATTTAATAAGAAATAAAAGATGTACCTACAGTGTAGACTGATCTTATACTACGATTGTGTGTACGACTAAAGGAACGGACTAGACATAACGGTAATTTACGGCTGCAGTACGAATAGGTTACCCCAACCGTTGAAGGACCATCTTCGCACAGAATACCAGCTTAAAATAGCAGCATAATACTGCTGCATTTCATATGCTGAGTGACGACCTCCGAGTGCTCTTTTTTATCATCTGAATTTTGATTCTTAATTGAAGATAAATGTAGATTACTATGGGCCATAACTTTCACTTACAATTACGTAGACTTTGCTTCTTTGTCACCCTTATAACTATGAGCCTTATAACTATAACTATGATATAAAATGCACTGAAGTCAATTTCAGAATTTGTTAATATATGTGATGTGAATAACTGCAGCAGGGCATAAGCTTAGATAAAGGCTACGAGGATGAAGAAGAAATCTCATTGAGATTTAGAGAGGCATATTAGTTAAGTTTAAGCCAATTGTGCCAGTCTCCAGCACAGACAATGATCAGCTTCTCTCTCCTCAAGGCTACAATTTATCTTCAGACAACCAGACGCTCAGGTGGTCTCTATACTTTGTTGTCGACATAAAACGCTTTCAAGCCAAACAATTTATTCGTAGTTGGATATGATGTGAATGGTTTGGCAGCGTATCTTTAAGAGAAGATTGAATATGTTTTTATAGCTAAGCCAGTGCTTTTAAATATTTTCGGCTATATTACCACTTACTATCAGATATAGTATTCATGCAAGACTAACAAAAATATTTTCCTTCTACTTTCTTTTTTATTAAGAAAGTTATCCTTACTACTATACTACCTAGTCAGGATTTTCTCTGCTACTGTGAATGCAGTTTATATTATAAACTTCATAAGTACTGGTAGTAAAGATATAATATATATAAAAACATAATATAATATAATAACAATTTTTTTTCTAGTCTTTCGTTCCTTGGTTTTGAAGGTGATGAAAATGTATACATTTTATATGTATGTCATCAAATCTATATAAATCAAACATTTAGAGCCGGAACAATTATTTGTAGGCAATATAAACACTCCATGCCCTCTGCAAGCAACTCATTGCCAATTCGTGGCTTAATACTGCGCCATGGACCCTTAAAAACAAATACGAAAGATTAGAAAAAAAATTGTTATTTTCATGAAATGACGGTTAGATGATATTATATATACGAGTATGCCTTTGAATTTTACAAGATTATATCATTTTCACGACAGTCTATCAAAAGTTTTTTTTTATAGGACAGGGTGACAAACGAGCACACAGTCCATCTTATGGTAAGTGGTTGCTGTGGCCCATAGACATCTACATCTTTCCTCAATTACGAATCAAAATGCAGATGCGTTGTCACCCGTGAGGACTAAGATGGAATGCCTCGTTTCCAGTAAAAAGAGTCTCCGGTTCTCTACACTCACCATACGAAACACAGCAGCATTAAGCTACTATTTCACGCTGGTATTCTGTGAGAGCGTGGTCCTTCCCCGGTCGAGCCGACCTGTTCGTGCTACAACTATACTACTAATATAACTGCAGCATGGCTCTACCACGTATAAAATATCCTATACGTATAATAGGTATAAAAGTCCATAGCTGATCATAGTAACATATGACCCCTCCTCCCTCCCATAACTTGTGTCATAGGCTCGTATGAGAGGTAGGTTGATAACCGCAGTTTCTTTATATGTTATTTGGAAGACACTGCTGCTCTTCTTCGCCTGGTTCCCTCTGTCGTCTTCTACGATGCCAAGGGACGATATGGAGTAGTGGATATTCTTACAACACCAATATGCGGTTCAAAAAGATATATTCCAAGATATCAAAACGCACAAATGTGTCTCGATACTATGATCGCCATTAGCTTCAGATTCTCCAAGAGTTTAGTGTTATCAATTGTAGGTATTTAATGTGAGAATCAAACCACGCTTTTAGGTGAACACGTACCGGTTTCCTGACCCGGACATTTCGTTTCGGTGCACGTGGGATGACCTTCAGAGCTGCAGGTGCACTCGTTGCATTGACTCATCCATTTCGACCCGGGGGCACACTCCTTACCTGGTAGCAAATAGGATTTCTTTGGAGCTGGAATCATAAATACATATATTATATATACATACATATAAACAAAATTGTAGGTATTTCAACATTACAGACAGATCTGTAATGTTGGAGTACCTGGTTTTTAGTAAGCTCAACGAGTTTTTTGCATAATGATTTCTTATATTTACGCGAACACTAATGAACACTAAATGCGCCCGCTCTACAGCACTCATGGTCACGGGCGGGACTATGAGTGCTGTAAAGCGTTCGAATCGTCGGGTATTTAAAAAGTTAAATATACGCGATAAATTCCGTAAAAACTAGTATTATTTCAGAGTTTTTTGCATGTTTATAAGACAGAAATAACGCTTTTTTTAATGTTTGTCTGTCTGTATGTATATCTGTCCGGGCTAATTACCAGAATGGCTGAACCGGTTGTGGTGAAACTTTACAAACAGATAGGGTGTTTTATGACAAAAAACACCCTATCTGTTCGTAAATAAGGAAATAATTAAAATAAGGAAATATTGATATAATACCTCCTTGATCATACTCAAATAACCCCTCATTAATTGGTTCTTTCCAGGCGAAGCCATTAAACATTTTAAAAAGGTTGTGTGTGCTACAACATTTTATTATTACACATCATGTTAAATCATTTATGTAATACTTTTTCATATTGTTCTTCTTTCTTACATAAACTTTATCGACAAACTAGAAATTACTCTTGTATCGAGGGGGAGTCGTACTTGTATCGTACATAAATTGCATACGGTTAGAAAGGTAACTTATGTGGTAATTGAAAAAAGTTCGATAAAGTTAACAAGCTAAGCACACGGGTTGAAACCGCAGCTTTTAATTATTTTGAGTTATACCTAGAATATTTCTATAGGATAGGGTGATAAACGAGCACACAATACACCTGATGGTAAGTGGTTGCTGTGGCGCATAGCCATCTACATCTATCATCAAATACGGATCAAAATACAGATGCGTTGTCACCCGTGAGGACTAAGATGGAATGCTTCGTTTGCTATCTTATCTCGATCTTCGAATCTCTACACTCACCATACGAAACAAAGCAGCGTTAAGCTGCTATTTTATGCTGGTATTCTGTGCGAGCGTGGGCCTTCCCCTGTCTAGCCGAACCATTCGTGCTACAACTATACTACTAATATATCTGCAGCATACCACGCATCAGATACTGCCCATTTCTTGTATCATTTCCCTACGCCGCCTCTTAGGACACCCCCGGGATCATAAAGAGTAGCGGGTTCATAGAATGAACATTCTTCTTCTCTCTTCAGACTTTCTTTTATATAGGATAGGGTGACAAACTAGCACACAGTCCACCTGATGGTAAGTGGTAGCTGTGGCCCATAGACATCCACATCTATTCTCGATTACAAATCAAAATGCAGATGCGTTGTCACCCGTGAGGACTAAGATGGAATGCCTCGTTTCCAGTAAAAAGGGTCTTTACTTTACTCGTAATTGTTCGATATATTATTTCTAAATCCTGGTCACAACTGGATTAAGAAAGGAATGTTTGAGTGGTTTGGTGATGTAGAAAGAATGAACGAGGAAAGAGTGGCAAAGCAAATTTGTGATGCAGAAGTGAACGAAGTTGGGAGGGGACGCCCTAGACGAAAGTCTATCCACCAAGTTGGCGATATATTGAAGATGGACCAGATTAAGAATACCCCTAACTGACGATAATGTATGCATAGGTATCTGGATGTAAAAAAGACGACAGATATGTGTCAGGATTATGCCAAATAGAAGTCCGTAGTCGCTGTCTAGCCATCTGGGTGCAAGTGAGTGTTTATGTATATGTAACAGCCTAGCTTAATTAAAGTTTCAGTTAAGGCTTCCGTCTAGCTGTGCTGTTTTACATTCCCAGCCATTAGAGGGGGCGCTCTCCCCCGTGCATAAATACGTTCGAGATCGCGGGTGAAGGTGCTCTACATCATTAAATATATAACTTATTAATTTTTTTTCCAAAAATATTCATTCATACTTTTGTCGTGATAGTATAATTTTTTACCTTTTTATATTTCATAAATGTCGGTTTTAGTAATGTTTATACGGTCTGTAGGTTTAAAAAGGGTATATGCAACCGAAGGAAAATAAAAACTGCCTCTTCATACAAATTTCGCCTCTATCTTGTACATTTTGTACTTTACTACTACTTTTACTACTATTTTTACCGACACAGGGATATTTCTTCTTTTTTCTATCCATCTTTTTCCGTTTTTTTTTTTGGTAATAAATTATATATAAAACTTAAAATATATAAAACATACCAAATATAAAAGTCCAAGTCAATTAATCTAATACTAATATAAACACTAAAAACTAGAACTAATATGACAATTAAATAAAAATAATATATATTTAAATAGAGCAACTTTCACGATATGCTCCGCTCAGTCCATAAGAGCTGCGCGAGGGAAAGAGATCAACCGTGCGAGCGAGAGGTAAAGTAACGTTGAGCAACACTGCACACGTCTGAACGCCGAGAAATCCCAGCGGAACTGAGAGAATTTTCAGGCGTTACTGGTTTATAAATGGCATATAGGTAAAAAGTACGAAAATATATACTTTTTCAATTTTATTTATTTCTAACTCACTTGAAAATAGTTCTATTTTATGTGGTTTTAAGTACGACTTTGCTACATTTATACTTCTAATAGAAAAAAATAGATATTTGCAGTAAAAAAAATCATGAAATTACAACTTTTTAAGCCCTTCAAATAAGAAAATTAAAGCATTTATAAAAAAAGTGACCAGATCAAATTATTGTAGACAATATGTAAATAAATGTGATCTGATTTCTTGATATTGTTATAGTTTGTACATAGCAGAGGCTTTAATAAGACCTTTTACGCATGTAACCTAAACATAGGCATGTTTAACGCCTAATAAAGCTATTAATTTAAACACCAAAATAAAATTAAAAATCAGTTTCGAAAATATCAAATCCTAAACTTTAAATAAATGTAAAATATGTTTCACTTTTTCTTTTTTAAATACTATAAAAAAATATTTGTTTTGCTGTAAATTTTGCGAGAACATTAATTTTTACCAGACTGGGGCCTTAATAGCCTAACCGTCTCGTTTGATAATATTAATAAGTTGACTGCCCAACTGACACAACTGCCCCCAAACATACATAATATAATGTACTACTAATCAGCAAACGTCATATGTATGTTCTAGTAAATTTTAGTAGTATTTAGTAGTGGTAGTAATTGGTAGTAGTAACAGTTTTTTATTATTATATTGTTGGTAATAACAATTTGCGATGTAATTATTATAAAATCAGTAATATATATATATATATATATATATATATATATATATATATATATATATATATATATATATATATATATATATATATATATATATAATTGTTTCACGCATCTGTTGCAATCATTCCGTTGAGACGGGAAGACTATATCTATGCACAGCGACTGCGCCAAAAAGATCGTGTTTAACATTTAACATAATAAGGTCGGTCGATAGGAATATGGCGAACAACAAAGCGCAATAACGAAGTTGTCATATGTATGTATTTTTCGTAGAGTAGAGAGGCCTGAAAATATCGACCCTTACTACTTATAGAGTAGTATATCCCTTGCGTACTACTAAACTCAAGCGCTATCAACATTAGCACGTGATAAACGCATAATAATGTTGTCTGCTTTTGATGATATATCATTGTATTTTACAAAATATTTAATATCTTATTGATAATCCTGTTGCAAATTAATTATTAAAACTGGTTATACCAACTCGCTTGACGGGCGTAGCAACTGTGAAAAATATTCCCCCTATGATGCAATCTATGGGGGAGGCCTGTGTTTAATAGAGCTGTGGACTTTAATAGACTGTAACGTTAATGGTTTTCTTTAATTGAGGGCTCCGTGACGCAGACCTAGCAATAAGTTGCAGCGCTAAGTGATGTTTGTCCTTGTGAAATTTATATATGTAAACTACCCCCACAAACAGGAGAAAATCCTAGTGTGGATATAACGTTTTCTTATAATAATAAAAATATATTATTTTTTCACCAGCGTAAGAAAATCCACTACCTCTTATTATCCCGTGGGTGTCTTAAGAGGGGACTAAGGGATATAAGGGAACAAGTACATATATGATATATATGTACTTACATCGATTTTCTTATTTTTTATTCACAATAATATGTTTACGTGGTAGTAATAGTTATACTTGTTGTTGCACATTCGTGCGTACCTTACTCACTAGAGGGTGCACTGAAAACCACCTTCGTGGATAACACCACGAAATTATGTTGAGTGTAGTCCTTTTAAACCAAAAAGTAATAAAACTTTGATTGAATTGCTTCCATTTTATTTAGGATTTAGTTTTCTCTTAGGCTGTGTACTTATAATATATTTTATAACGTGTGTGTTGATGTTTGTTGAAGTAAATAATTTTTCTTTCTTTCTTTCTTTCCATATAATGTCGCTATTATGTGCCAAATTATGCGCTATGTGATATATTATATAAATACACGCGGTTTTAGGGTGGCCTAATGTCCATCCCAGCCGCATCATAACATACTGCCGCTGATATTACAAAATAGGTGTAATGTTGTATTTGTAATAGACGCATAGGTTGAACATCGTTCAGGCCTCTAGTTGAACGACGCCGTTTAGTAAAAAGGCTAGGCTGTTAACTAAAAGACTAATAAAACTAGTTGGCATCAACACACATATCACGACTTAGCAACGACTTCTAAAACTTTTGTGAAAAAAAAATTGTAGTGTTTGAAGTCTGTTTAAGGCTGTTTAAGGGCCGGATCTATATATAGGCTTTTTGGGCTGCAGCCCAAGGCCCCGTGGATATAAAGGGCCCACAGCCCCCAGTGAAGACTAGCTGTCGTAGCTTTAAAAATAATTATGATAATATTATGAAAATTTCATGAGTTTTGGTAGAAATGAGTATGAGAGAGTTATTTTTCAAAAAGAGGCACGAAATTTAAAAAAAATACGTGTGGCACTCGGTGACTG